ACTGGCAATGCCTTTGAACTCATCAGTTCAACAAACCAAGGTAAAACACATGCACACTTAGGCTTACGTCAGATTTTATGGAAATTTGTTTTCCCACAACCATGATTTCAGCCTGATACAATATTATACTTACTTTTTAAAATTTCATGAGAGTAAGATCCAAATGTGAAAAAAAATATTGGACGGAAAGAGCATGCAAAGACATTGGTATGACGAGGGGTTTATACTTTTCCAAACTCATCTAAAAATAATATGAATTTTAAAAGGAAACTTTTCAAAAAGCGTTTTCCTTTACGAGTTTGAGCTGGCGGTAACTGCTTGCCCGCGTGTAGTAATGTATGCCAACTGTAAAAATTAGAACCTTGATCTCACATTTAGAAATAGCACATGAAATTGTGTTCAGTAATAATTGTCAGAGACAAATTTTTGCAAGTGTTACTCTAATACTCTAATCTATCCTCAGACAAAGAGTTATGTAAAGCTTTAGCTATGTTTTCTAAAAAAACCCACTAAATGTAGATGCACTCAGATGTTTAACGGTATTCAGGAAAGAGAAAAAATTATTCACAAAAGCTAGATTCAATGTGTGAATTTGGCAAATCTTCACCACTGTTAGTACTAGTACCATAATGATCTTTTTGTATTTTTCTTTTTCTCAAAATTTAAATTATATCTGAATTCCCCCCCCCCCTCCCCAAGCTGCTTAAGTGCGTTCGATGACAACATATTATTTAGTGCCACACAGTAATGATAAGTATGAAAACTGCATTTGGGCGCACGAAGTTACAGTTGTAATTCTGTATGTTTTTATATTGTTGACTTCGTCATGGTTGGCTATTAGCGCGGATAACATTAATGGACTACGACACTTAGCATTTCAGCTAAATATTACATGGTGCTTTAATAGTTAGTGTCACAGACTACGAGCAGAATTCTCATGAGGAGAATTATACCCCTGCTCCATTACCTCAAACGCTAAAACCAAAAAAAACATTTTGTATATTTCCTATATTACAATTAATACCAGTCAAATCTGTGTACCCTCGCATGGACAATAAAACTGTGGGGAAACATCGAACAGGAGGGTCGAACCAAGAGTGAACGTATCAAGAGGTCTGGTAGTGATACAGTGGACAATCACACATTCTCCCAAAACTGCCTTGAATTAGGGACCAAAACATTTTGCATCACATTCGCCCTTTTCTTAAGGGTCTCTAGATGGTTCTTGATTGCTGTCAATGTTACCAGCTGAAGAGAATCAGTAGTTATCAACATCTAAAATATGTAAAGGTTTTATATGCTGTACAACTCTATCATTATTACTAGTAAAGATGCTCACCTGATTTGGTGTTCTCAATTTGAACTGGAAACTATTGTGTCCCTAGATTACCGTAACGATTTAATGTCTCGTCTGGGGGGGGGGGGGGGTACTGTAATCATTTCTTTTGATGATGCTGTTGTTATTTTTATTGTTGTTGTTGTTATTGTAGTTTTGGGTGGTGCTCGTGGTACTGGCAGTGGTTGTGGTGAGGGAGATGGTGGTGATGGAGATGGTTGTGATGAGATAAAAGCAACTTTTGAAAGCTGCATCTGTCTTGATTAGACACCGAACTGATCCAGTTTCTGTTAAACCTGTATCAAAACATTTCATGACTTTGTATATGACTTGAGTTCGTCATATGTTTCCTTTCCCTTACCGTATTTTCCTATCTGTTACCTCGACTTTTTTTCCGTGACAGATTTTCCGCTCCATTGCCCACACTTTCATGGGTTATAAAATGATTACTGTTAATACAATGTCATTTTTTATAGACTCCAGCACAAGCCCATGCTGACCACTGTATGCTCAGGTGGTTTCACACAATGACATAATATTATGTCTAGTTTTGTTTTAAATTATCTACAAAAAACAACCAAACAACAGTTGTAATTAAAATACGACAACTTTTATTTTTCTTTCACACTTAAGAGGAATATGAAACGTTAAGTGTTAACAGAACACAGAAAGTTTTTAGTGTCATACAGCCCCAGTGATTGACCAGGTCAAACAATTAAAACACGAAAATTGCATTTTTTTATACATAGTATTCATGCTCACTGCTTAATAATATGCTGTTATTAAAGGAAAGGAAAATTTTTAATCACAGTACATAATTCATAGAGACCTCTATCTTCGCTATTGTTCAGAATCAAGCTTCATCATTTTACACTAGACTTCCAGGGACATGCTGAATCCATCGTACAAAAATTGAGCTATATCATGACGACTTCATTTTCTAAAAAACAATGCTCTGCCAAAATTGTACAATTTCTTTAAAAGTCCCGTATGTGTTTGTATGCACACATGCGCCCGCCCGCCCTCGCGCATGTGTTTGTGTGTATGTGTGTGTGTGTGCGTGTGTGTGTGTATGCGCGCGCACGTGTGTGTGTGTGTGTGTGTGTGTGTGTGTGTGTGTGTGTGTGTATGTGTGCGTGTATGTGTGTAAATGACGTAGTTCAATGATAACGTGAATAGGCCAAATTGTCAGCATTTGAAGAAAACAAACCCTACCATTGACAAAAGTCTATACTTTTCCGCTTTGACGTCCTTGGTTTTATTCGTTACAACATTTTAGTCAATTTCCCGAAAATAATGATAGCGTAATTTTGCCCGTGGACCATACAGACAAGAAATCGTCGTAATTGGTTTTGTGACTATAGAGGCAGGAAAATGTCGTTGTTGGAAGTGGGATTACAGAGACAGGAAAAAACTATGATAGGTCTAGTGACTACAGAGGCCCTAAAATGTCATGATTGGAAGTGTGATTACAGAGATAGAAAAGTGTCATAATTGGAACTATGACTTTGATTACAGGCACGGCAAATGTCGTGTTTTGTTCTGTGACTGTAGAGACAAAAATGTCGTAACTCGTCTTGTGACTAGTCGTGATTGGAACTTTGATTACAAAGACAGGAAAATGGCATCACTGGTCCTGTGACTACAGAGACAGGAAGAAGTCGTGATTGGTCTCCAGCGTTCTGTAGAGACTGGCTGCGAAGAGGTCCGCTGACGTGCTGGGCTCGTCATTCCAGGAGGTCACGTGGAAACTGATCCTGCCGTTGACCACGGTATAACCCACGCCGTACCCTTTCGTGTGAGTGGGAACTACTACCGGCACGCTCAAGAAATTATCCCCCAAGCTCTCTGCAAACACGGGAAAACGCTCGTCCCCGCCCGACAAGAGGTACGATTCGTCTCGAAACAATTCCGGAACGGCTCCATCCATTAAATCTCCAATGAGCTTCAGTGATGTCAAGTGATTTTCAATTCCCTGGCCGCTGACGTTTTCTTCATAGATTTGTTCATGCTGCTTCTCAGCAACCCAGAAAGCACTCGCCTTCAGAGCTTGGTCAGCATCAGGTGACATCATCACCTTGCACCAAGCAAGAATCTGCGGGGTGGCTGACCTCATCAGTTCGTACCTGCCGTGGTACAGCCGTCTTAGATGCACCCTTGTCCCGATCGCACCCAAACGGAAATACATGCGGAAATAGGTCAAATGCATGACGAGATGGGCAAACGCGTCTGGATGTATCCCTCTTTTCTGAAGCAGGTTCTTTTCGAGTCGATCGTAGGTGCATTCGGCAGAGCAGAGAGCCGCTTGGAGTGAGGCAAACGTCCTCTTAGCTGTCTCGATTTCTCCCTCTATGAAGTCGTTTATATCAAAAACCAAAACCCGTGGTCCTCCAAGAAAGCTGCTTGTCGAGGTCCGCACAGATGAGCTCTGTTCTGATGTCCACGCCAAGTTGGATATCTCGCTCGCTCTAGCACCGAGTTTGAGGAAAAAATCATCTGTGTCCGTGAGAAAGCCTGGGGAAGAAAGAGCACACTGACTTATCGAGATGGCGACGTCATCGTCCCATTTCTCCGCATCTTCCATTACCCTCAAGTGTATGTAATCAAGCAGTGCTGCCACAGCCAAGCCGTCCTGTAGCAACCTGTTCACGCTAGCGGTCACTAAGCCATTGGCGTACACGTAGAAGCTCAACCCTTTATCGTACCACCGGTTGCAGCCGTCGGCAAACACCGCCTCGTGGCTGATCTTGGACGGGTTTGCGTTCAGGTGATCGAGGCTGATCACAAAGATCGCTTGCTCAATCAGCTGAAGGTTGCCTGCATTGTCCTCACTGATAGACATAAGTACATCTCTAGCCCAGCTCCACTTGTTTTTGTTGGCTGATGTCAGGACTCCGATCCCTGGAGCCTCGTCTATCAGCCCGCTTTCCATTGACCTGACCATCTCCTCAAGGCTCTGCCTTATGACATTTATTCCGATCACTCTGCCATCCTCGTCTACGCCATCTACAATAAAGAAATTTCCTCTGCAAATGACAACGAAGTGTTTCGGAGTCTCTTCTATATCTCCCGTGCACCGAAAAGTAGCCGCAATTCCATCTTCTGGGATACCAGGAATTCTACATGAGGAGAACAACTTTCGGAAAGAATGCATGCATACATAAGCTTTGTCATCGCCAGTCAAAGGCCTAAGATGCTGCTCTCGCAAGAGTTTCCAAAAATCTAAAGTTAATTTTATCAACAGTGTAGATCTTTCAAGTTGTGTGCCTTCTTTAGCTGGCCATAGATCATTCATTAAAGGTAACACAATTGATATATTCCGCAGAGGCTGTTCTTGCTGAGAGAAAACGTGTGTATAGTTAGGTAGCGCTGTCTTTTGCCAGTCTTTAGAGCCTTCCACGTTCTCCAACAGCTGCTCATTGTACTTTTTCCCCGCAGAGAGAGCAAAATTCTCTACTATTATTTTTGTAGCGGCAAACTGAGCCTCCAGTACACAGGGCTTCACCGATTCCAGGTACCTGTCAAAGGTATAAAGAATTTTTTACAAATCAGAAACCGATGGATTGTGTACGTTGTGTGTGAAGTAGCTGGTTTTAATGCAGTCGTATCATAGCAGGCGGGTGGTAGGAGGTCGCCTCTGGTAGGTCCTACTTCTTAACATTCCCTCTATTGTTTCTGTCTATTCGTCTTTCTTTTCCCCAGCACTAAATGACCAATAGTATTTCAATGTGCTACTCTTTACTCAAACTCAAAGTGTCATAACAAAATCTCCAGATCAGACTCCTTGTCCGACAGTGACACAACAGGCCATAAAGTGTCAAATAATTTGATTTTAATTACCACATTTGTAAAATAAAGCAAAACCTACCAGTACACGATGTGAAAACACCACTCAGTGTGAAATGTATACCATACCAGTATATTTTTCAACTAGGCTTAGCTGTTCATAGACTGAAAAGGACATGTAAATAGATTGAGATAAGCCTTTTAATATCACCTAGCTCAAATACATAAATGTCAAGGGACACCCAGTTCTTGGAAAAAAAAATGTCATTAAATTCAAATCTGGGGGATGTTTTGTGGAAACAGAACAACAGATTATATTGACTCCTTCACAGTGTTGTTAGAAAGGTTTGAATGACATCACCCAAACACAGTGTTATATGGGGATTACAGACCTGGTTTGAAAGAAATACCGGACACCATTATATCTCATGTAATACAAGTAACGCACACACAACTATATTACATAAAGCAACAATTAATAATGTTCCTGTGAACTGTAGCTCCCGAAAAAAAAGAATACCAAATAGACAGATAAATGAGTGAATAAATGAATGAATGAATAAATAAACGAATGAATGAATGAATTAAGAATGAAATATTTGTAATCTTTTTTTCTTGGAAAGTGTTTTATGGTGCTGTCAACTGCATAATGTCATATGAGCCCCCGGGACACACCAAACAGTTTCAGTTGGTAGGAATATAACCCCAGTGGTGGCCGAAGCCTACTCGTATAGATTCTAGCTCACCAAGGACTCTTTAACGTGCGCCACTTGCACACGGGACCACCGAAATGTTTCTACCTTGTCCGAGAAGGCCAGTGTGTGGTGTGGCTGAAGGACAGCAGTAAGAAGGAGCCAAGGAGAAGCTGTAGAAAGGCTGCAGAAAGAGTCAGGAGCCCAGAGGAGGGGGCAAAAGAGTGTGGGGGAGGAAAAGGGAGACGAAAGCAGACGACAGAACATTGCTAGAGAACAGGAAAGGAGGTGAAACGAGACAGTTTTAGAGAGGAAAATGTTTCAGTCCCATCCGGATTCGAACTCGGGACCCTTAAATGAAAGGCGAACACCTTAACCTCTAGGCCACGAGAGCCCCTGAATGAATGAACGAATGATTAGATAAATAAATAGATGAAAAAAAGTGAATAAATAAATAAACATCACTTAAGCCACTTTGTAAGCAGTCTAGAACGCTTGTAGCTTAGTTGTCCGTGAGCGATTTCCTCTGTGGTGCCAGGTTTGAAAAAAACAAAACATTGACTATCATGGTTCGCGTGTCAGTTCTGTTATCTAACAGAATGTAAAGAGCTATGGTGTTATTATCTCTCTGTGCTCTGTGTACATTTCCCCTCATCCCCCCCCCCTGCTAAAAAACAACAACAACAAAATAATTTTAAAAATTAAAAAATCCCCACAATGCCTTTGCAAAGCAGTTCGTAAACCCACGTTTAAAGCTAAATAGACATATTCTGACCTCTTCAGTGTGCGAGCCAATAAAGGAACTTTGGCCTTCCTGAGCTGGCTCTGTTGCGAGAAGGTCACCTTTTCTACTGTCATGTCAACATAGACTTCATATGACCTTTTCTTGGGGTCAAGCCAAGGCCAAGGCCAAACGTCATCAGACAAATACGAAGCAGACTCGGAGAAATGAGGTCTTGTAGACAATCCTGGAATGTGCTTGTTTATCGGTTCTTTCGGTTCGGAATCGAGACCGTGCAATCTTGACGCGTCGACTTGTTCTAAGTTCCCGGCAAACGATGTGCTGTGTTCCTTGTGTTTAGGTGACTCCAATGATCGATGTTCGCTGTTATCATCACTCACTGAGGACCTCGGCGATTCAGGGTTCACGTATTTTTGGACGAACATCTAAAAAAATGTACGAAAAGAGAAACGCAAAAGAGACACAGTTATAATATCACTCAATAAGTTAGGTCTTAACAAAGAGGACTCATTTCAAGACGACCCTCCTCTCTCTGTCTCTCTGTCTCTGTCTCTTTCTCTCTCTTTCTCTCTCTTTCTGTCTGTCTGTCTGTCTCTGTCTCTGTCTCTGTGTCTCTCTGTCTCCGTCTCTCTCTCTCTCTCTTTGTCTCTTTCACTGTCTGTCTGTCTGTCTCTGTCTTTCAGTCTCTCTGTCTCTCTATCTGCCTCTCTCTCTCTCTACATCTCTCTCTCTCTCTCTCCCTCTCTCTCTCTCTCTCTCTCTCTCTCTCTCTCTCTCTCTCTCTCTCTCTCTCTCTCTCTCTCTCTCTCTCTCTCTCTCTCTCTTCCCTCCTCCAAACCCAACCTGGAAGTTTGCACTCTACGATCTACAAGTAATTTAACAAATTTTCTCTCTTCATGGGCTGATAAAACTATTTGCTTCGACAGAGTAGTTCTTTCATAGGGTTGCTCTTTCTATTTCAGTAACAACACAAAATGAGCACTTCCCTAGGATCAGCGTTACGTGCGCATTGAGATTGATCGTTTAAGAGGAAGCACTAATAAAGTTTTCGAACTGCCTCACGTAAAAGACCTTCCCTAAAGAGTATTGTCTTGCACTTACTCGGATTTCCGACTTTTTAAAGCTGTTTTTATATATTAGTATGTCAATCATGATTTTTTTAAAAGAAGATATTCCTTTTAGGCTATCAAATGTTTTTTGTTCTTTTCCAAGGAGTTAATAAGAACAACATTATAAAAAAGAATTTATAAAACGACAACGATGTAACGATATCAATGATAAAAAAACAACAATAATAATGATACTACTACTACTACTACTACTACTACTACTACTACTACTACTACTACTACTACTACTACTACTACTACTACTACTACTACTACTACTACTACTACTACTACTACTATTATTATTATTATTATTATTATTATTATTATTATCATTTTTTTATTATTATTATCATTATTATTATTATTATTATTATTATTATTATTATTATTATTATTATTATTATTATTAATATCATTATTATTATTATCATTATTATATTTATCATTATCATTATTATTATTACTAGCTGGGTCCCCTTTCTATGAACGGAATGATCGGTGCATTAAAATCAACTGAAAGTTAGTGGCCTTCTATATTTACACTCTACTGGAATGGAGCAATAAATCTTGAGAGAAAAGTGACACCCGACGTGTTTCCAAGTTACCAAATATTTAATAGACGTATAGATAGATAATAAGATTATTATTAATCGCACTTCTGTTCTTGCGAACTACTCACACGCACGAAGAAAGCAATATGAAACGGAAGTAGCCCCCAGTAAAATATGAAATGGCTAAGGGCAGAGTGAAAATATCAGAGAGCTTCGATTTACAGGAAAAACCATCGAACCTAAAAAATCAAAAGGTAGTTTCCGAACTTTGAAAATCTGCCCACGTAACCCTTTCGGAAAAATAATTGTCAGGAATTATTCTTGTCTGAATCATATATTTATTTGCAGATTTTATGGGCACCTGTGTAAAGAGTTTTTACTGACCCCACAAATGGGCTTAGCTCCATTATAATAAGATTAATATTATTATTAGGGTAATAATAAGTAATAAATGGAAGAATAAGATGAAAATACAGAGAGAAAGAAAGAAAAAAAGGAGGAAAGGAAGGAAAAAAGACAGGAAGAAAGGAAGAAAGAAAGGAATGAAAGAACAACCAAATAATGAGGATGGAGGAAAACGACGTACTTTATAACTGTCCACAGAATCCCGAACGCAGTGACTCTTTTCGTTGAGGCTCTGTGTCACATCGTCCCGGCTGACGGGCCACGTCGTCTTCAACCTCTGTCGTATCTTCGCCGACCTCTGATCGGTCTCGCTGTCGCTTACGGGAGACTTGAACTTGGTGTCTGAAGCGAACCAAACTCGCTTGCCGATAGCGTCCTTCGGCACACCCTGCGCGATGGAGGGCTTTGGCTTGATGCTGATCCCAGAGCACATAGAGGACTCCCGGTGGCCTTCCCTGTTGAACAGAGCGCGGCGTAGGTCGATGTCCACGTTTCCGAGGTCCCTGGGGCCAATGTCGGCCGTTATTTCCACTTTGCGTGTTGTTGAGCGACGACGGCGGTATCTATCGTTTCCTTCCATGTCGCCCTGCGCTCAGAATGGAAGAACAGCACCATCAGTCGAAAAGCTGACACAAGGCGGGGTGATGAAACATCATTTTGTTGATAGATAGATAGATAGATAGATAGATAGATAGATAGATAGATAGATAGATAGATAAATAGATAATCTATAGATAGATAGATAGATAGATAGACAGATCTTCCTCTGGGGAAAACTCCAACGAAAAAAGACCGTTTTGGGAGACGAGTGTGTCTCGGGAGAAAAGTGGGAGATAAATGGGAGAAGGAACCGGAGAAAGAAGTTAAGACAACAGTACAGATTTGTTTGTGTGCAAAATGGGGGCTGGATGTCTGGCTGGTTTAACACAGAACGTGTACTTGTGGTTGAACTGATGGCAGTAAAAATAAGAAACAATAACGATTTAAGGGGCCTGTCATTAGAGAGAGGTGAAATAGTAATTCTCCAATACGCAGATGATACTACGTTGCTTTTTGAGAGATCAAAATAATCTTATTACTGTGCTCAAGGACATTGATAATTTCTCTAGGATGTCGGGCCTGGGACTCAATAAACTGAAATCAAACAAAGTATTTGTGGGTATGTAGGAATAAACATAATGATCAGAATTGATCAGACTCCTGGGAAAAATGCCTGGAGGCTATCTGGTGGAAAAATGAAGATACTTGGGATTTATTTTATTGCAGAAAAATGAAGATACTTGGGATTTATTTTATTGCAGACGAGGAGGCTTCTGACATTGATCTAAATTGAACAAGAAAGACAGAAAAAAAATTTAAAAGTCATGAAAATGTGGAAAAAGAGAAACCCTTCACTCTGTGGCAAGGTAGATCTAGATCTAATACTTTGTAAGACCTGTAAGACCTTCTTGCTTTCGCAAATTTTGATTTTCATGCTTGCACTATTTTTACCTGACGAGGTCACTAGCTACATTGACAAATTGTTGTTTTTCAAAAATTTTTATCGCAGAAAAAGTTCTTGAACAAAAAGGCTAAGGAGAAAATTTAAAGAACAGACATTGGCAAGTCTGTAGAAGAGGGAGGGTTATGTATGATCAGGGGGCGCGAACAACAAAAAGTGTTCCTAGATTTGTATAAAAGAATGAAGCATCTAGCATTGAGCAAAAGTTCAGCTGAGAACGAGTTCCAAATTACAGACATGATTAGATCTGGTGTGAGTTTACAGTTGTCTCTAACCTGTGATGGACTGCATAGGAGCAGGATCTGTATGTATTGACACCAAAAGAGGGACACGCCACCAATAACGAAACTGATAAATATAATGGAACTGTCAAATGGTGTGCAGGCATTTTTGTCGTTCAATAGAGGTAAAAATAGTGCTGAACAGTGCAACGCGATTGTGGAAAAATTGCGGAACAGAACGTGGAGTCAGAATATTAATATCTGATTTTCCTTATAATAATAAATTATGTTGTTGGTTTTTTTTTCAACTTTGGAGTTAATTGTTCATTGGTCATTGTTTCAGGAAGCAACATCCCTGCATTTTGGACATGCTCCATTGATCTCTCCAAAATGTCGCCGAGGGTCTTTCCTCTGATTGTGCCAGTGCATATCTGATAGAACGTTCTTCTCTTCTTTCCTGCAAGGATGCCAGATTTTCCTTGGTACCTTTTTAGGCGATAATGCTGGGAGCGTCGTCAAGGGAGGACGATCTCCGTAGCTCCCGCGCCGTTTCCCTTTTAAGGAAATATAACTGAATTTCCTTGAATGGATGAACCATATACAACACTCGTCAATTAGAGCCATCATGTGGATATTCTGTCCTGGGCACTTTGGAGTGAAAGGCAATGAGGAGGCTGATAGGCTGGCAGGCAGTGCCGTTGTTGATGGTGATGTGAAATTTGACAAAGGAGAAGTGTTGAAGACCCGGGAGGAAAAGTTGCGGGATGAAGAATACAGGGAGACAGCAGAACACCAAGCAATCATTAGGATGCGGGAAATGGGGATAGAGAGGGGAGAAGGAAGAAAGGAACGATTATCTGGAAAGGATAGACGTCGCCATAATCAGACAGCCACAGGAACAATCTGTATGGATACCTTGCGGGCTTTGGTGCTGGGGGGAAGTGAGCACTTCTGGACCTGTCCGGTGAGCAATGACGTTGTTGCGCAGGACAGGTAATACAGGACAGATTTTTCCGTTTTCTTTTTGTATTACCAAAAGCATCATCCTCTCCACAGCAGTATTGGCCTCTGCCTCCCTATCTTCCTCCTCAAACAGAGGGCGAGACAGACAATTCAGAATCTCGACCCTGTCTGGCTGAACCGTGCTGTCAACTGAGGTGGCCTCATTAGTCAGTCTGTCTGCTTTTCATTTCCCTTTACGGTTGCATGGCCAGGGCAGAAAATCCGTGTGAGAGATCGTATAGGCGTTGCTTCGATCACTTTAATTAATTCTATTCTCAGGAAACCTTTTTCGATCCTTCTGAGGGTACACATGGAATCCATGGCGAGAACAGCATGGGTTGTGTCGAAGCGATCTCTTTGGTTATCCATTCAAGTGCTTTCATGATTTTCATTCGCATTTTACATTTAGCTCTGCTGCAGGCTCCAAATGCACTGTGGGTAATGTTATTGTTGGCGAATGCAACAAATCCACATCCACTTCGCCGTGTATCTCTTTTCACTGAGCCATCTGTATGAATTACATGACCCCCTGCTTTTGAGTTTTTGTCAACAATCTCGTTGATATCACTCTCGTTATGGGAGTTGTGAACATGTACGTGATCTAAGCCTTGCACACCAACAGACTTAAATCTTAAGTCGTATGTGAGATTTTTAGATTTAAGGATAATGCAAATTGTGATATAATTTGATTGCACGGTCAATACTTTAGCACCAGCAGCATGAAGATTTCTTTGTAACATAAAGACGAGCACATCTTGGTGACCACAACAATACAAACTGATGGCAACAAAAACGACACAGAAGTAAAACAGCATAGTAGTTTGTTTGTATTAGACCTAGAGTGAGATCAAAAATTCGTCTAGAAACATATTATATTCAATAAATATATATTTTAAGGGGTGAATCAATGTCACTAGGTACCACAAACCCAAAATTTAAAAGTGCTTTGATCAAACTTATGTTTGTTGCATCATAAAGAACTATGCAAACCATGAACTTTGGTGTTTGAATGATAGAAATCGGACAATAAATAAAAAAAATGACAGGCGTTTGAAATTTGTGGACGTAGTAAATTTTTGGCAACTTTAAAATCACGTTAAAAAGTGCGATTTTGTGAGTTCACAGAAAATATATTCAGGTACATAAAGTGTGTATTATCATTTGTTTGAACAGGTGCCAGTATAAACTATGCAAAATACCAAGATGAGGACAATCAGAGTTTAAATTAAGCCAATACAGAGACTTAAAATTGGAAAAAAGTTACTCCTTGATGCATAATGTTAATTC